TTTATATGGACGGGTCACAGCTGAGCGGATAGGTCCACTGGGATATAAAAGGGTTGTCAAGACCCGATGGAGTGGAAAGTAGTCACATTTGAGTCGACTTCAGTGAAGGAGACGAAACAAAGGCGCTTCAGACTAATCTGTGACACAGACCGCATAGACCAGAGTGTTGCAGTTATTGACTTATTTTGTTCTGAGGGACACAGAGATCCTTTTTCCCACAGCATGTTGCTGTTTCAGATGAAAGCTCAGTGACAGGAGCCAGCTTGAACCTGTCACCCCTCATTGTGTCATCAGTCTCTTGGAGAATCTGCCACATCTTTCTCTCTCTTTCTTTTTCACTAGTTTTACACAATACACAGGCATCCACAAACACACAATCTTTTGTAGATGAGTTAGCGACTATTTCAAACTTTGTGTTACATATACTCACCAACAGAGCGGTGGATGCACGTGTGCTGGTTGTCGCTGAGGAAGAAGCCCTCTTTGCAGCGGCACTCGTAGCTGCCCATTGTGTTGACACAAGTGTGCTGGCACCCACCGTTGTTGAACTGGCATTCATCCACATCTACAGGACAGTGAATCGATCACACGAGTAAACAACTTACAATGCTTCAGGTGGGAGGTATTCACTTACATAAACCAACACAGACCGTCTTCAGCGTTTTATAAAGCATGAGTTTACACAGCTGAGGACACAAGCTCCCTGTCTACCATGAAAGATTGCTTATTTAGTTTAAAGCTAATCTTACCTAGACAGTTATGTCCATCATGTGCCAATTGAAACCCATCATAACAAGTGCAGCGATAATTGCCTGGTGTGTTGTTGCACTCATGCACACAACCCCCATTGTACTCCAGGTCACATTCATCAATATCTGAGAAACAAACAACACATAAAGGTTGGGGTGGGGAGAAAAAGCTAAAAATGCTAAAACATCTTAGGCTCTGAACAATTAGAACAAGGTGTGGCTGCAACAGGAAGAAAAGAAATCTGTGGCTAAACATTTACACAATGATTACCTTCACACTGTTTTCCATCGCCTTTAAAACCTGCTTTACACGTGCACTTATAAGAGTCTTGGGTCGTTTGACAAATAGCGTCAATGTGACAGCCATCACTTCCCTCTGCGCATGGATCTACAGGAATGCATTATCATCAAAAACACGTTAGAAAATTAACAAAAAGGCGACATATTTGTGAGAATGAAGCCGGAAAATTCAGATTTAACTGATAAAAACGAAATAAAAGAGTATGAGTCGAAATGGGGGGGGGGAAAGAGGGGGAGTCCTGTGAAAACCTGAATGTTAACAACATGCCAAAAAACAAAACTTTTTGGAAACGTTTATGTACACAGAGCGCGCAACCTGCCACTGCAGTGCTGTTTTTTCCTATAATACAAAGTTGTTAGGAATTAGGAGAAAATGCTAAAAGTCGCTGCTGGTGAAACGACATGGAGCGCACTCCTGGGAAAAGCGTGCGTAAAGTCTCCACGACTGCAAAAGACAACACACACACACGCTCACTACAGTCCCACCTCGAAACTCTGGAAGCGCTGCGCTTTGGCGACTATTTAACAGGAGCAAAAACAAACAAAAGTCCCTTGCAGCCCAAACAGCTCCCATGGTGATATGATCCAACTTTAGAGGTCTTTCTCAAAAGGACGCGTACGCACTGAAGTCGCGAGCGAGCGTCCGCCTCATTTTCATTCTAGCCTGTCAATCCGCTTCACAAGGCGCTTTTGAGTAGAGAAAGGAGTGAGTGAGTGAGAATAAGAGCGTGCGTGCGCGCGCGAGCACGTGAGAATGGAAAAAACGCTTTTGAAGCAGGGTTGAGTCAATAGAGGGAAGCCAAAGAAAAGCGGAAGCGTCAAGTGTGTGTAACAAGCATCACAACGGCAGCGCGCTGCAGAGGCTTCTATTTTGAAAAAAGAAATGCCCGGAAGTGTTATAGTAAATGCTAATTTACAAGCTCCTTTGAGTGGCTTTAAAGTCTAAACAGCGTTTGGTGTCTGTGTATGGTAGCACGGAGGCGAGCGACAGTCGACAGTGACTGTTGCTTAGCTGAAAGCGATTTACTCGTAGGGCATCGTTTCGAAAATGACGACCTGTGGTCGTTCCAGGCGCCGGTTGCCTCGGTAACCCTCTAATAAATACGCTAGAGGCAGAGCAGTTGGAATTACTTACTCATGGGCTCTGGTTAGAGGTAACCTAGTGGTAAATATGCTACAAGGTCATGTGTCAATCAACGATATTCTACATTCTCATTGGTAGTCGCCTTACTGCTCGCCTGGGATTTGAAATAAAAAATGTTTGTCCCGAAGTCCCACCCACTTCGGCGTTTCGCCCGGAGTCGCTTAATGTCTTTGCCTTTCAATGATCTCTAGTGGCCTTATCGGTTTGAATCGCTTCCAGTGTGGACTCAGCTGCATATTAAGTTCTCTCAATTTTTACATATGTAATATAAAAAATATGACATAACATAAGAGTTTACATGTCAGATAGCAAACCAGATGTCAATTCAATTCAATTCAATTCAATTTTATTTATATAGCGCCAAATCACAACATAAGTCGCCTCAGGGCGCTTCATGTCACTGGGGAAACTCTGTGTTGCCATATGCGTTTTTGTTAGGGACACACCAAGTCTTGTTTAAACTTTAAGTTGACTTAGGTTTTAAAATACTTACAGGCTTTTTTCACTGCCGTTGTAATGTTTTACGTGCACTACTGTGTGTATATATATACTACGAGTGCATTAAGCTAAATATTAGCTAACTAGCTACTCCTGGAAGCGAACGTTAATTAAAAGCGTGGTTGCTAGGCAACGAACGATTTTAGTTCTAATTGATAATCGCTACACGAAAGACGCCTTGTTTACCAGTCAAATAAATAGTTAACTTTAAAGTCAGGCGTTGTTGTGAAAGCTACAGACCTGAGTAAGAGTGGAGTACGTACACTTGCTTCAGCAGGGCTGTTAGCTTAGTATCGACGTTTACATGCATTTATGAGCTTTTACCATCGGACAAATAAGCTAACGATGGTAGAATTTGCTAAGATTGCACTATACTGATTTTTACAGCCGCAGTTTTCCCTACTGTGACTTAGGTTCAATTATCAAAATGCAACTCCAGTTGTGCAATATAAGTGAAATCCCAATCTAGCCAATAAACAGGAACACCTTTAACCCCTGCAAACAGCAAAGGGACCAAAAGCTCCATCAGCGTTAATGTAGCTCTTTTCCACCACCTGCTGGTGCAGAAAAATATGACAGGCCTCTATTTTTTTTTCTATTTTTTTTATTGTAATACAGAACTACTTTGTGGTACAGTATAAAAAAACAAAACAAAACATACATTGCATGTTCAAAGGAAGCGCACAAAATTTCTGAAAGGCTCTACACCAATTATCTAAAAATTTCAGTTACAAAAGTTTTTGTAATAAATAAACATAAATTACATAAGAACCATAACGGAAAGATCAAATAATTCTTTAAGGCACATCTGATATCCCAAAATGTACCTCTTAAAAAATATGGCAACTCCCTAAGGACAAAAAAAAAAAAAGCTTATTTTCCAGCTTAAAAGGAAGCAGCATTTCTCCTTTTAATAAGAATCATAAACATGTTCAGCATTTAACAACCCTGCCGCAGAAGATAATATATTAAGCAACTTTACAGAGCATTGCCTGTCAATTCTTTTAGTTTGAGACCACTTATAATTATGTAAAAAAACAAAAAAAGCAACCGTTATCACTGCAGTATTAATTTGAGACAGTATGGCAAAAAACTGCAATCTGAGCATTATTTTTGACATGACAAAGACAAGAATGATTGTGAGACAATGACTTAGGACAATTAGAAAAAAATGCAACATTATTGCTAAAATAATGGATGCTTTTCACAAGCCAATTTTGGTTGAGCAAGGATCCATCGCTTTACACCTGAAGTAGCAAAAGCGACGGACGGCCCCAGAGCACTTCTCACATTCAAAACGTCTGCATAGTTTGTACTTTGACAGTCGCAGCCATGACAAACACATTTCATTAAAAGCAATTTTTTTGAATGGTGATAATGGGAGCTAAAATGTAAAGCAACTTCAAAAGATGAATCACACAGGAAGAGGAATGTTGCTGCTCACTGTTGTGTTTAGAGAAATGTATCTGATCAGAGAGATGTGAACATGTGGTAAAAAAGCCCGTTCTTTTCTTCTTGTTGTTAAAGTACATGTTTTAACAATGTTGGGACACACAAAAGCATTTTTTCTTTTTTTTTTATACTTTCTTCTTTTTCTTTTAAACAGACGTAGTGGTTTTCTATTCCTGTTATTGTTTAAAAAAAAAAAGTTTCGATGTTCCAACAGCCAAAATATTGTATTTACAAAATCCACTAAAAAACAAAATCAAAAAAATCAAAAAACAACAAACAGGGATGTACTGCATGCATGGTCGAACCACATCTATCAGTTAATGTGCACACACTGCTGAACAAATTTAAAATGGAGTGTTTCAAACTTGTGGCATGCTAAAGCTGTATACATGTCCAAAGATTACGTGTTGTCATCTATATACACATATTAAAAGATCATTAAATCGATAAAGAACAGTTATACTAGTGATCCCCGGTGTCAGGAAAAAGCCATTTTTGTATAAAAAAAATTTAAAAAATTCAAAGATTCATTTGCACTAATAGACAAAACATAGCAAAATGTTGAAGTCACGCCACTCACAAAAAAGCTGGTGTCTTTCATTTACACACAATTTGACAACTAATGAAAAACAAAACAATCCTGATATGTATAAAAAAGGTGACAAAGTATTTACAGAAGGATGATCATGTCATAAAAACTAAAATTATAATCCAGAGTCAAAAGCAGAGCCTTAGCAAAATTTGTCTCCTCATCCTATAAATAACACTAATGCCCTTAAGGTTTTATTCCCCATTTGTGCTTTCTATAAAAAATAAAAAGGAAGGAAAGAAAGAAAAATCAATTCTTTACAAAAAATCTTAAAAAATACCTGTATAAAAAGGAATATTACAAAGGAAAAAAGGTCTACATAACTGTCTATGGGAAAGAGGAGGAGCAGAAATGAGAGGTCTACCACTGGAGACAAATCCAGGTAGATGCCATGGATAACCCCAACAGGGAAATTCAACAACAACAATAGCATTCACCAGGTTTCTTTTATGTCTTCTGGGTGTTGTGTGTCCGGCAAGTGTGTGGCCACTTGCGTGGGCGATGTCAGTGTCTTCTGTTTTTTGGAACTGCAGCAGGGCTTGAAAAGCCGGGGATCAATAATCACCTCTCCAAACCGACCCTTGTAGACAATCCCACAGCACACCTTTTGTCTAAAAAGTTAAAAGGTGAAAAGTTACTTAAACAATGCTTAATCTTTTTTTTCGTTTTGAAAAAGATATCAATTTTTTTTCTTCAGTCTAGTCAACGAGTAGCTTGCCTTTTCCAGTAGGAACGGTCCAAGAAGGAGAAGATAGAGGGAGCTGAGCGTCTTTGCTTGGACTCTATGTCTGAGCCATCATCTGACTGGTTGCTGTAACTGGGAGACTGGGCAGGAGACACGCTGGAGGTCGTGCTGTGTGCATCAGAGTCTGCTTAGGAAAAGGGAATATATTAAATATTATCATATTTACATTTGTTTGGTAAGGTTCTGTTGAATTCTAAATATTTTAAGACGGTAATTTAACCGATCACTTATTTAGCAGAAAGTTAGCCACCATTTCTAAAACTGATCAAAACTTTTACACTTCATGGTTCAATGACTGTTTTTGACACCAAGTCATCACTTTTTGGATTTTAGAGGAATGAATTTGCTTTTGTCCTACTACACAGTTACACATGATTATATTATTATTAGTTTTTAAATAAAATTTGATCAGTGAATGACATTTATCCAGCACCCAAATTGGCAATTAATTCTAATTAACTTTCAGCCCTGAGATGAGCCTGAAGCTAAACAGCGTGCCCTAACCCAAACAGCCACCAGATGATGCTAGCAGTTGCTTTTAATTAGCCAGAGAAGACAAACATAACAAACCCAAGACTGATTGACAGTGAGAATGAGCTGCAGCTAAAGTGTTTAAAATCAGTTGTTTGAGGGCTAAGAAAAATGTATTCTGCATCTGTCAAGATTACTAAGAATAGATCACGGTTTAATGTTTTTAAAATGACTCACTCTGTCTCTTGAACTTGTGCAGCTTCTTTAGCTTGCTTTTCTTCTTCCCATCTCCATTTTTTATCTTCTTGGGTTTTGTCACCTTAAAGCCTGGACCTGCTCTTGCATCCACCACCTGAATTAGGTTAGACACAACAAGTCAGCAATCCATTGAATGGGACAAATATGCACTAACAGTACCAATAAGTGGATATAACTTACATGGTTCCAATTTTTCTTGGAGCCAAGAGGTAGCTTTTTCCACCTTTTCACCAGTAAGACACAGGCGTTGCAGATGTCTCCAACACGATCCTCAGAGAGCCTTCAAAGAAAAAAATAAATAAATACAAAACATTTATTTATATATATATATATATATACACACACACTTGAAAAGAAAATACATGAGTCATTAATAAAGTATGCAAAAAAGAAAAAAAACTCAAAAAACGAATGCACAGATAATTCAATATGAATAAATGCGAGCCCTTACCCAAAACACAGCCTGAATGTCTCCTCATATCGACTGCTGTCTGTGAATCGAGAACTGGAGGACTTGGTCTTGCAGATGCAACAGCCTTCGTTACTCCTGTAGATCTTTGACTTGTGAAAGCCAAACATAGTCTATTTCTTGGTCGGTGTTAGGGTTAAAATCCTGAAAACGGAAGGAGGAATAAAAATATGAGCACACGATCGGTAATTGTCCCAGTCCCACCTTTTCTAAGCACCGTGGATGTCTGCAGACAGTTGTGCTTTCTACTGCTAAAAGGGGGCGGTCCCTACACGCGCACACATACAGATCTAGGAAAACCCGTCCACAACCTCACAATTATAATAAATCCTGCAAGAAATCACTTTTTTAAACTAATCGAAACATAAAACTAATAGTGCGCAAACATCTGAAAATGCCCAACTACATTTGGCTAAAGCCGTAACGTTGAGGAATTTAAAGTCAAGTCACGGGAACACCAAAACACCAAAAAAACTAAACAAAAACAAGACAGCACGAACACTAAACGCACGCTATATCGCCATGTTATCGATCGTCTTATCACATAAAGAAGATCTGAGGATCATCCACGCGGATGCGGGTCCGAGTCGGGATCTTAAACTTTCAAGCACAGCTCGGTTAACGTGGGGACGTCACACGAGCAGCGTTTTACACTCGGTAGCAGGCATTAATACCACTTTTCCAAACATCACTGCATGGATTATATATTTTACTATCTAGCAAACGTTAACAAAGTGAGACTGCGAGCGATTACACGTTGTTTATCAGGAGATTGGTGTGCGCTGGGAATCCGAAACAAAAAGCGGGCTGTAAGCGGCGCTTTCTGAAGTGAACAAACAAAAAGCTACCGTGCTATTCGTTAAAATGCGCATCTCTAAATAAGTCATACTTATCAACTCATTGCATTTAGTGAATGTCACTGAAATTTTAACAAAATGCAAAAAGTTGCAACGAACACATCCTTCCCTTTAAATTCAAACTTTTGCCCGCTAGAGCGCCAAATATGGTTCATTGTTGTTAGCCCTTAGCATTCCAGCTAGCCTACTTCGCTACCACGCCACGCTCTCGTTCACTTCCACGTTATCCCCATTGTCGAGACTGTTAGTCTTAAACGTTTGGCGCGTGACATATGGAAAAGCACACGTCAGGTCACCACTGCACCACATTACGGCTACTCTTCACGTACATAACGAATAAATAAAATCTCATAAATGTAATATCAGTGGAAGAGACATAAGACTGCACTTACCGAACAAAAACTTTGAATCTTCGCCGTGTTCCTTTCCCGCACTGCGCATGCTCTTACTACAACTGCATACAGCTGGTCATTAGAATACATTTGCATAAAAAACCGGAATGAAAACGCAGAGCTTACATGACCATATAAGGCGTGCAGCCGTTGGGTTTGAACCTGATTCCAACCAATCGCTGACCCCTTCGCGTACTCGCCGGAAGACATGAATTCTGGGAAGCGTAGTGAACAAGCGAGGCGTTGTGCCGTTGTTAGATGTGAACGGACTGTCTTGAAACTCAAAATCCCACAAGGCACATGGCCGAAGCCTTTAAAGAAAAACACCTCTTTGATATGGCGCGAAAGAGTTTGTTTACATTTTCTCAGCCGAGAAAAGGCATTCAGCGGAAATATGAATGTACAACAGCCATTTAAAAGCTATCAAATCAAGACTGCAGGACCTAAAAAGCTCATTCATCTAAATTATACATCTAAATAAGCATTTAAGCTTCCCTTTATTGCACATTTAAGTTACTGTAAGCACTTTACTTGAATTCAGGGCAGTAAATAAATTCATTATAATTAAAAAAATATATATACTATTATCACTATTAGATTAATCAACAATTCTGTTAAATGTGCCATTTCATTAAAAAAAAAAAAAAAAAAAAAATCTAATTTCTAAAGCCCAAATTCATATATTTAAGTTTTTCTCTAGCAGCTTGTAAAACTCCAGAGCTCCTGGAGCAAATAATATAAATGTGTTAATGAAAAACAAAATCACCCATTTGAATGCATTACAGATGCTTTATTCTTAATATATTTTTACACTGTACACTGCTGCTCACTTAGTAAACACTACATTACACCGCTATATCAATAAATGTACAACTGTATTGGAAAACAAAAATATATATCTCCCAAGATGCTTGTGTGTCGGGTCGTACACAGATGGGTACAACACAGTCATTCCAGACGTTGTTGGCACAGGTAAGAAGTCCATCACATACCAAGTCTCTTATTCTGCACAGTAAAGTGAAATGTCTATAACGGAGGAGGGCCTGGGACCATCTCAAGACGCCCTGATATGGAGTTTACAGGGAGTTTAATTTCTCTTGTGGATATTGCATAGCAAGAAAACATGATGCGAAGGAAGAAAAATAAAAATCAGGAGACGAGGGGGGGGCGACGACGACGACAGTCCTTTTGCTCCTCACATGGGAAGCAGGAGATCATTCCCATCACAGGAAGCCTACTCAGATAATCACAGTTTTGTATGTTTGCAGAAGACAGCAAATGTAGTGTAAGAGCTGTAATGATGGCAGGAGAAAGGGGCTGGTTGGAGGTGTTAGCATGAAGGTTGTAGTTGTGATCCAGGTCGCACAAAAAGCAGGGTCGAGCATCTCTTGGAGAACTTTGGGGTTACTTTTCTTAATCGCTGAATACAGGCGTGAAACCACACACACACACGCACGCACGCACGCACGCACGCACACACACACACACACACACACACACACGGGATCTTCATCTCTGCTGAAGGTGCTCCTTGTGAAAGATTTTGCATACTTGTACTTCTATCAGGGAAAGGCCTGAATGTAACAGCCCACGTGGTGAATCACCTAACGCTCTACAAACTTCCCTGTCATACACACACTTACAAAGCATACATCCACATCATTTGCTCTAAGCTCTGCGTTATGACATTGAACTCGGAGTTGATAACAGAGCAAGCAACTTGACCAATTTAACAAAATAATACTGTTTTTTTTTCCCCTCTGAAAATATATTAACAGTTTTGATCCCTCGCTTTCCCTTAAATATAGCCGTCGCCAGCAGTTCACGATAACGGTGAAAATATTCAGTTTTCAGTAAAACATTATAGCACAAGTAGGTCAATAATGTGTAAATCATGGTTCGTAATAGAAAACATATTTTTGAACATCTAATGGCAACATCGTCAAGGATAAAAATAACAACATATCTGGAAAGGCTCATTGCACTTAATATATGGCAAATGTTAACAGTAGCTTTAATATAAGCCAGAAAGTCTCCTTTGTTCAAGCCTGTTCCTGCATATAAAAGGTTCAGTTATTCTTTTTAGTGGTCCCCAGTGATCGTCCTGGTCAAGTCCAGTGGGTGGGAAACTGGTTTGGCTTTAGATGCCGACACCTTTGACGAGTGAAGCCTCCAGGGTGATGTTGAACTCCTGCAGAGTCTGCAGTACTCTGATCAGAGCGTTTACCAGCGAGCGGTCCTTAATCAGTGCAGTGTCCTCATACATCTGAGAAGTGATCGGACAATCTGCGAGCAGAGCGATCCAGTGATGGAGCAAATGGTCCCTGACAAAAGATGTGGAGTTAACAGAGCAGCTTAACACGTGATGCAGTTTTCAATAAAAATCACAAGCTGTGGTGGAATAAAAGCAAACTACATTACACTATGCTTAAAACCTGACATCAGTGTATCAGCAAAGACTGTTTTATGTCTCGAGCTTCACTAAGAAGTTTTATTGCATCCACTTTGAACACTCAACTTCCTTTTTGTCCACAAGAATATTAACAGTGTTCTAAATGTTTATCGAGTCCTTTATTTAGTTTATGGACTTTTTCATCTCATCTTTTGTGTGGATGTTTTCTTTTAACGCTTATACACGCTAACAAGCCAAACTAACATAACCTCTCTAACTTTGGCACAGTCACATGTCGATGGGCCCAATTACTCTCATTAATTAATGTGTATTATCTCTTTTTAGATGAAACATTAGCAGCATACGTGGTCCTTCCTACCTTGCGCCCAGACAGACGAGCATTTGGAACTTCCCGTCCTTGCCGATGTTTCTGGGAGCGTTGTTGATGGCGCGCATGAAGCGGCAGAAGTGGCGCACTCTGGTTTGCCAGTTTTCATCCGGGGTCACCTCACGCTGCTCAGCACTTTCAAAGTAAACTTGTGCCTTTTCTGTGGTTTTTTTTTTTGTAAAACAAAGGAGACCACTCAGTTAACAGTTTTTAAACAGTATTTAAACACACACACTACACCTGAGAGGTAACAGCAAAACATTGGTCTACTTTAACAACAAAAAAAAAGAAAAAGTGAGGCCTCTTTGAAATTAAAGCATTTTTCAATAGAGTAACAATCGATCAACATCAACAGACATTTCCAAAGTACTCATACACCACAATGTACTTTGCAGATTACTGCAGTTGGTTGCTGTTCTTTATTGGGACACAGGCTTTTTACCTTTTGTCATTCAGTTATGCAGGATGCAAGTACAAGCTTGAGTCCTTACCCAAAAAGTCCCAGATGAAGACATTTTTAAAGAGTCGCGGTGATTTGAAACCGTGCTGGAAAACTTGCTCCAGAGCCCAGACGAGGCCGTACTCCCCACAGAGCAGGAGGGTCAGGCTGCCTCTCTGTGGAGAGAGCAAAAATACATGCATGCATTTAGAGCTCGTTTCAAGTTGCCTCAAAATTGCTGACTGTTTTTTCCTGAAAATGCCAATTTAATGGATCAGCTATCCCATTAAAATGCCAAACCACCTTCCAAATATGTTGCAGGAACAGACAATGGAAAGGATCATTACTCCACAGCTTTCTCTGTGGTCATATTTAAATGAATGAGAACTCCAAAACATTTAAATCATCATTAAACTAAGAGACCATATACACACACACAGTATAGTAGGACACACGGGAGAATACAAAGCAGACTTCAACGTTATTGTTCTGTTGGTGTGTTAAGGAGGTGGAGCAAAAGTGAAGGGGAATTCCCAGTAAAAAAAAAAAATCGTTTGAAACTATAATGAATGACTTTTAAAGCCTGTAATCAGCAGCTAAGTTACTACACACTTTAAAAATCTTCAATTGCAGTTCTCCTTCTCCACCTGCCCGAGTATGTAATAATTATCAACATCAAGTTCTATTTTAGTTCCTCCAGAAGAGGAAAATTAACAGACAGCACTCTAGGTCAAAATAATAATAATAACAAGCTAAATAAGATCATTAAAAAAAAAACAGCACAAATCCCTCTTTGTTATATTTCAACGATAATACAGGCAGAACAGTTACTGAGGGGGGCTGGGGCCACCGGAGCAGACGGCTGCTTTTTTCCCCCCATTTGTGATGAATAATAGAAGTACATGTTTGGGCCTGTCTAGACTGCCGTCTCTCACCTCCTTCTCTGGCTTGTGGAAGTGCTTTACAATCCCATTGATGGCCTCTCCCACTCCCTCCTGGATCTGACCTGTGTTTAGCTCTGGATGAAAGAAGAAAAAAAAAAAAAAAGTTCAACAAAGATACTGAGAGACAACACAAGCAGACACATGAAGGTAACTCCCAATCCAGGTTTAAAACAATTTGTCGTTGTGTTTTCTCGTTCAGGCGTTTTTGGGTCGTTTCTTTTTTTAAGGCAAGCTTTTAAATCATTAGCAGGTGAGGAACAGCTAAATCCCACATCAAAGGGGGTTTTTTGTTCTTTGTAGAACAAAACGCTCTACAAACTCACTTGGTTTGCTGTTTGGCGAGATGGTAACAAATCTCCTCATCATTCCCGGGGACTGCTGCATGGGAGGTGTGCGGCACATCCGTTCATCGTTCTCCGAGCTGGGGGTCATCAGCTCTCCCACCAGGATCCTCTCCAGGCTGCCGTCATCCACGCCCTTCCCCAACCAGCGGCCGCACGGAAACCTGCGAGATGAGCACGCCGAGTCGATTTTTTGACAACCAACTGGCCAAATCGGTATCGGGTTCATTTTTCCACCAGGCGGTAATGCTTACTTGTAAGTGTGCCCCGTGATCTCGTTGCGGACCACAACACACTCCACCAGCCACTTCGCATAGAGCCCTGTGTTATCATGACCCATCTGCACTGTGGTGAGTTTGCCCAGGTTCTGGCACTGAGACAGAAGGACCCAGATTAATGTCAAACACCCAAACAAAAAAACCCCCCAAAAATCATATTTAGACTACAGAGTTTCTAAGATAAGATACACAATCTTTTTTCCAGAAGACATGAAATTCCTGTGTTAGAGAAGCCAGAACATTAAATAGAATATATATCAAACCACTTTAAATAATCCAACATAACTCAATGATACACACTTTGTTA